TTACCAGTCCAGTTGTGAGAACTCTTGTTTTCTTTATATTGAGGTATAATCCATACTGCAGACTGTACTCTTCAATCTTCATCAGGTAAGTGCTTCAAGTCATCCTCAAGCAAGCAAAGTGGTGTTGTCTGTGTATCGCAGGTTGTTAATGAGTCTTACTCCAATACTGATGCCACATTCTTTTTCATAAAGTCCAGCTTCTTGGATTATTTGTTCAGTATACAGATTGAATAAGTATGGTGAAAAGATACAACCCTGACAGACTCCCTTCCTGATTTTAAATCATGTAGTATTCCCTGGTTCTGTTTGAACAACAGCCTCCTGGTCTATGTACAGGTTCCTCATGCATACAATTAAGTGTTCTGGAATTCCCATTCTTCTCAATGTTATCCATAATTTATTATGATGCATACAATCAAATGCTTTTGTACAGTAAATAAAACACAAGTATACATCTTTCTGTTATTCTTTTCTTTGAGCCAAGATCTATCTGACATCAGCTATGATATCCCTCATTCCACATCCTCTTCTGAATCCAGCTTGCATTTCTGGAAGTTCTCTGTCAATATATTGTTGCAACCATTTTTGAATAATCTTCAGTAAGATTTTACTTGCATGTGATATCAATGACATTGTTAGGTAAATTCCACATTTTATGTGATCACCTTTCTTTGGAATGGGTACAAATATGGATCTCTTCTAGTCAGTTGGCCAAGTAGCTGTCTTCCATATCTCTTGTCATAACTGAGTGAGTGCCTCCAGTGCAGTATCCATTTGCTGAAACATCTCAATGGGTATTCTGTCAATTCCTGGAGCCTTGTTTTTCACCAATTCCTTCAGTGCAGCTTCCACTTCTTCCTTCAGTACCATTAGTTCTTGATCTTACACCACCTCCTGAAACGGATGAACATCAACAAATTCTTTTTGGTACAGTGACTCTGTGTATTCCTTCCATCTTCTTTTGATGTTTCCTGCATCATTCAATAAATTGTCCATAGAATCTTTCAATATTGGAACTCAAGGCTTAAATTTTTTCTCCAGTTTTTTCAGCTTGAGAAATGCTGAGCATATTCTTCTTCCCTGACAGTTTTCTAACTCCAGGTCTTTGCACATTTCATTGTAATAATTTACTCTGTCTTCTCAAGTTGCTCTTTGAAATCTTCTGTTCAGCTCTTTCATCCTGTCATTTCTCCCATTTGCTTTAGCTACTCTTCATTCAGGGGCAAGTTCCAAAGTCTCTTCTGACATCCATTTTGGTCTTTTCTTTCTTTCCTGTCTTTTTAATGACCTTTTGCCTTCTTCAATGGATGATGTTCTTGATGTCACCCTGCAGTTCCTCTGATTTTCAGTCACTGGTAATGCATTTGTAATGTATCAAATCTACCCTTTAGATGGTCTCTAAATTCAGAAGGGATATAATCAAGTCATATTTTGGCTCTTGTGGACTTCTTTTAATTGTCTTCAGCTTCAACTTGAACTTGCATATGAGCAGTTGATGGTCTATTCCACAGTCCTGGCTTTGTCCTGGCTGAAGATATTGAGCTTCTCCATTGCCTGTTGTTTCAGATGTAGTTAATCTGATTCCTATGTACTCCATCTGGCAAAGTCCATGTGCATAGCCACCAATTACGTTATTGAAAAAAAAGGTATTTGCAAATGGATAAGTCATTGGTCTTGCAAAATTTTATCATGCCATTTCCAGTGTTATTTCTATTATTTCTATCATTAAGGCCATATTTTTCAACTACCAGTGATTCTTCTTTGTTTCCAACTTTTGCATTCCGATCACCAGTGATAATTAACACATCTTGATTGCATGTTTGGTCAATTTCAGACTGCAGAAGTTGGTAAAAATTTCAACGTCTTCATCTTTGGCTTTGACAGTTGGTGCGTAAATTTGAATAATAGTAGCGTTAACCAGTCTTCCTTATAGGTATATGGATATAATCCTATCACTGACAGCATTGTATTTCAGGATAGATCTTGATACATTCTTTGTGATAATAAAAATGAATGCCACACCATTCCTCTTCATCATTCTGAGCATAGTAGATCACATGACTGTCTGATTCAAAATAGCCAAAACCAGTCCATTTCAGCTCACTAATGCCTAGGATATCAATTTTTATGCATTCCATTTCATTTTTGACAACTCCAATTCTCTTAGAGTCATACTTCATACATTCTATAGTCCAATTGTTTATGGATGTTTGCAGCTGTTTCTTTTCATCTTGAGACATGCCACATCAGCAAATAGAGGTCCCGAAAGCTCTACTCTATCCATATCATTAAGGTTGGCGCTATTCTGAGGAGGCAGCTCTCCACAGTTGTATTTTGAGTGCCTTCTAACCTGAGGGGCTCATCTTCTGGCACTATATCAGACAATATTTCAGGGCCAGTCATAAAGTTTTCCAGTAATATATCAGATAGTGCATTTCACTGCTATTCATAAGGTTTTCACTGGCCAATACTTTGAGAAGTGGAAGGTCTCTTCCCTCGTCCAAGTCTTTCTTACTCTGCAAGCTCCACTGAAACCTGTCCACCATGGGTGACCCTGCTGACATTTGAAACACCAGTGGCACAGCCTCCAGTCACAGCAACACACAAGCCACTAAAGTACGTCAAAGTGCCAGATAAGTTTGGCTCCCTTAGTTGTCCAAACCACTCCCCACCATTCCTGGCCTCCCCAAGGCACTCCAAACACCCGCCTGCCCTGTGTACCCAGCTCACTTACCCAGCCTGCCCTGGGTGCTCCCCAGCAGCTATGGAATGATGTAAACATCCTCCTGATGTGATCAGCCAATCAGTCCTAAAGGGATCAGGGTGTGATGTAACACCCTTATTCAAGTCATGGCCCTTACCTGATATAAAGGGAGTTTCCCTAAGGTGTGGCCTCTTTAACTTACATGAGAAAAAAGGAGAGAGAAGCAAGCAGAGAGGGATCTGACTACCACCAAGAAAGAAGAGCCAGGAGCAGACCATGTCCTTTAGACCCAGGGTCTCTGTGCTGAGAACCTCCTATATTCAAGACACATGGAGATCTCCAAGGAACTCCAGACCCACAGATGCTGAAAGGCAAAGAGAGAAGACCTTCCCCTAGAGCTGGTGCTTTGAATTCAGCTTTCTAGCCCCCTAATTTGTGAGAGAATAAATTATGCTGGTTAAAGCCATCCACTTGTGGCATTTCTGTCATAGCAGCTCTAGATAACTAAGACAACACCGTAAAACTCTTCCTGCCTCTACCTCATACCCAATTCCAAATCTACTTTCACATTTTAGGGATCTGTTAGAGTAGCACCCCATTCTTCTGGTACCAAATTCTGTCTTATGCTGGTTAGTTCTCTCTTCAGCTTCTGCTTCCTGACCCTTGGACATCTCTTGGCATTCATTTTACCCCACTGCTCTCTCTGCTTACTTGTTTAAGCTCTCATATCTCGAAAGAGATTGACTCAAGCAAGATACACCATATACTAATCATGCCTCATGAACATAACAAAGACAACCTATGCCCAAATGAGGATATAACCACAAGCACTGAGATTAGGATTTACAACACATATTTTTGAGGATATAATTCAATCCATAAAAATGCTCTACCCAAAATTTGCAGAATCAAAAAATTTTAATTCCACTTAAACAAAAATTAAGATATCAATGATAGAAAAATAATCAAATATAAAGAGTGTAAAATGAAGATAGAAAAAAAAAATACTAAAAAGATTCTATTGTTGCCTCAAATATTTAGTAACAGCTGCCTAAAACAAGGAATTATGGCATAAAGCTTAGGTAAAGTTATAAGCTGCTGCACAGGGAAGGTATTCTTTAACTACTAGCTTATCTTTTTTTAGTAATATCAATATAAATTCTTCCAAAATAGTGTGAATTCTACTTGTAATGAACATTCAACAGTTCTACCACCAAGAAATAATAAATATTTCTAAAAAAATAAATTTAGAAAACAGTGAAACATTAATAGCCTCTGAATATTTTTATCACCCAAACAGTAATTTAATGCCAAATGTACTTTTCATATGGATTTATTAAACCCTAGCTTAGTGGATAACTACAGTCAGAAGTAATAAAGTGATTATGCAGAAAGGCTAGGAAAATATCCCTATGCTCATACCTAAATTCAACAAACGCAATTTAAACCACTGGGGATGCTGAGATGATGATAAATTACCTGCCCCAAGGAGCTCAAGTATTATGGGGAAACACACATATTACAATATGCTTAGTAAACATTATAATAGAAGTAAATACAGAATGCAAAGAAAGCATTAAAGAGAAGAGATGGCTCACTCAGAAAACCATTTACAACATGAAATATCCAACATAACTGAAATACAGTATAGTCCTTAGATCACTACCGTATTACATAAACCAAAAAACAAAATCTACTGCCACAGAGTTAATTTTGACTAATAGCAACTCTACAGGACAGAGTAGAACTGCCCCACAGAGTTTCCAAGGCTATAAATCTTTGTGGAAGCAGACTACCTCATCTTTCTCCCATGGAGCAGCTGGTTAAGTTCAAACTGCCAACCTTTTGGTTAGCAGCCCAGTGCTTTAACCTAAGTGCCACCAATGTTGTTGTTATGTGCCATCGAGTCAGTCCCACCTCAGAGCAACCTCTCCTTGGGTTTCTGAGGCATTATCACTACAGAAGTAGGACTGCCCAACCTTCCTTCCAAAGAGTGGCTAGCAGAGTTCTTTATATATTACATACATAAGATAATTTTATTGCTAAATGAATGCAACACAATCAAATTGTACTGAAGGTAACATGCCCCTATTTCCATAAACTTTCCCCAAATAAACTTTGATTTTTCTAAATGAAGCATATATGTCAATAGAAAATGTAAGTACCTTTACATATCTAAAATTACTATTTATACCATATACCAAATTTAAGAAAACGTACACCTGAATTTTTCCCACTATTATTTTTATACATAATATTATCAGGATCACCAAATTTCCAAATCTTCTTAACTTACCTCCAGCATTTCACTTAAGCGGACATCTGTTCTTTGCTGAAAAAACAAAAATCAACTGTAAAATCTGTTTCAACCACAAAATCAAGTTTTAATTTTTAAAAAGTAACATGTACATACCAATGTTTTTATAGTTCTTAGAGATTTCAGAAGTCCAATCAGCAACTGACGTTTCCTTTGGTTTGCAAGAAGGCCTAAACTAGCTTGAGTAAAACCTTCCTTTGCAATATTCAAGTGTCTGCAAAAGCGAACAATAAATAATTTAAATTTATTAATATAATAAGAATACAATGCATATAAAACAATTAGGCAACTAACGAGGTAGCAGCCAGGATACTATTAAAAATTAGGAGTTATGACTACTATTTGACAAACGTATTCAATGGCTAAATCTAAACCAGCACTTCTCAAAGCATGGTGGGTACACAGGTGCCAATCAATGAAATGTTACTGGTCTGTGACAAGAAAAGTACAGAAACTGAAGGTAAGCATTTAAAACACTTGGAGTAAAATTTGACAGGATAATGTTATGCTTGATGAATCAAATAATAATAAGGGATTATATTTTGTATGCCTTTAGTTTTTTTTTAAATATATACATATTTTATTTTCTTAGTTATTTGATTTTATTGAATTTTACAAAAATATCAGTCAGTGATAGACTGAAAATTAAAAGAAAACAACCATGAAAAGGGACTGGTTCTCACCACAGATAGTGTGAGACGCACTGATCTAAACAATACAAAAACAGTAAAAAATTTTAACCCATAACTATATGGATTGCCTGTACCCACATACCTTCTTGGTATAGTTTTTAGAGAATATACATTCACTTGATGAATGGGTATTCTAGAAAGCACAGTCATCATCAAAATCAATTATCCAGGCTGGATTTCATAGTTATTGAAATATGTTCCAAGTTAAAAAACAAAGTCTCATCAAATGCAGTACCTCCTTCCATTGGTGCAGATAACAGCAGCTAACTGAAGACCCGTCTGTAATGATGTAACTCTTTCAAGCTCCTATGGAAAGATTAAGTAGATTATTTTTTGAGATATTTTCTTTTTCTTTCTTATAAGTTTGGTAACCTAACAAAAGCTCTAGTGGATTTAAAAGAAAAGCCTGCTTGGAAATCAAAGTAACCTGAACTTGAAAATTATTAGTATGCTTTTATAAGATTCCCTAAAATAACTAGTTTCAATTGATTTTCACAATGACATAAGACAAAATATAAAGTAAGTATTGCCTATAATGAAATCTAGACCTAACCTGTTTTAGGCAGGAACAAACAAATACTAATAATATATCCATTTACATGTTTCTAACCAACAGAATTTCACAAAGTAATTAAGGATATGACAAATATGATTTCTGTTTACTAAGATGTTTTGACAATGAACATCTTCATCTGAGCACTGGTAGGTATATACATATCTCAGTGGACTTTGAAGTCTCTGATTTTCTAATGAAGAGACAGATTCTGCTAGACAACTCCAATTTTATCATATTTCAAATCCACACTCTTATATAATAGCCTCTGAATGTTCAATATTGCTGCTCTGTTATAAATCACACAGAAGAAATTTTCCCTGGCACTTCTAAAGTTTAGAAAACAAAGGCAATTAATTAAGATTTAGGTATTAAAAACTCTTCACCTCTTCGATTTGTTAAATACTTCCAAATAAGAGAGACAAAAATATACATATAAACACATACATATATGTACACACACACATATACCAAATATGTTGCATAAAATCACAGACAAAAGAATTATTACAATATTTTAAAAGTTTCAAGTGTAACTTGAACATTTTTAAACTCATTTTAAAATTTTTACTATGAGAAAACAGGAAATATTATCCTACCTTTACATAAGCAGGCTGTTTTTCAAGGATTAAATCTGCTACCTTTTTAGAGACCTATAAGAACATGCAGTCAAACAGAGGAAGTAAAAGAAAAGACCACATGCTTTCTGTCAGACTTAACATTTACTTTTTGCAAGAAAATTTCATCGATTGTCCCAATAAGTTTTACAGCAGTCACTGTACTCTATGGTCACACACACTTCCCTGGGCTATGAAATTAGTTAAAACAGTACTGTAATACACATGTAGTGCAGTACCCAGTCCTTAGTAGAAACTCAATACACGGTCATTATTAGTGTTAATATGAGTATCATCTGCTTTAACTAACATGCACAAAAGTGTAACCATCTGTAAGGGTAACAGTACAGGATTATTAGCTATAGAAAGATGATCTTGTTAAACTAAATAAATTTCTGCTCAAGTGAATTTATGAACAGAGCATCTGAGAAACAGAGAACTTTCCTGAATCCTCTGTACCACATAAGAGAGCAAACTAGTGATTTGGTCCGCTATTTCTGAAAAGTTGAAAACATGTGGGTTTTTGTTTTTGACTTTGAAATGCTAAGAAGATATCTAAGGTTTATTAAGGTTTACAATATTTTACTTAATTTATTTATTCCATAAATTATGTTAATGTATGCCAGTCAGAATTACAGTAATTTTGAACATGAGACTCTAATTTCAAAATTCCTATCAGAACCCAACCTAGCATCAAGCATGGCACACAAAAGATACTCAGTGGATGTTTGCTCAAGAAATACTTGGGTCCCCCCTTCCTCATGCAAACTAAAAACAAAATGTTGCAGACACATTAAACTATGGCATTCATCCTTTCATATTTTCTTAATTTGCTTCTAGCATCTTTGAAATTAATTAATTTCTAGATATATTTCTTGCTTTTGTCTAGAAAGAGGGATTCTACTAAGGTTAAAGAAACTTTAAATCTCTTATAGACTTCAACTAGTGAAGAAATGTCCTAAATATCATTTTAAGAATTCAGAAAATTCCACAGAAATGTCTAGGAAAGCTTAATTAAGGAAACACTAACACCTATTCAAAAATGCCAGACAGACCCTAAGTAAGAAAATGAAATCAACAGTTCTAGTTCTGTTCATTCTATGTTGACACATATGAATTTGTATGTTGTGGTCGTCGTTGTGCACTGCTGAGTCAACTTCAGTTCACAGTGATCCTACAGGACAAAGCAGACTGTCCACAGGGTCTACCAGGCTGAAATCTTCTCAGGAGCAGGTCGCTAGGTCTTTTCTCCCACACAGCAGCTGGTGGGTTCAACCTGTCAACCCTTCAGTTAACAGCTGAGTGCTTAACCACTGTGCCACCAGAGCACCTATGAATTTGTATAGATGTGCACAAATGGTAACCTACTTAATTTAAGTATATTGTTTTTTAAAATAGCTCTTATAGTTATGATTAATCTGCTCTGTACCAGGCAAGGTGTTAGTGTGCTTCCTACATTGCCTCAATTAGTATTCAGGGCAATCCATTGAGGGAGGTAACATACTTTCTCATTTTCCAAGTTAGCAATCTCAAAAGGAGTAATTTACCTGTAGTCCCACAGTTAGTAAATTGCAAGGCCAGGATGCAAACCCAGGTTTACCACATTACAAAGGCCACTATGCTACACAGCTCTTGTTATAGGGTTCATTCCCAAAATAATACCACATGAAGTACAAAGACATAGGACAAACATGTTTAATCACAGTGAAGCCAAACAAAAAAAAAATGCTACCATCTCCTGAAAAATTCCATCTCCTGAAAGCAAGTGTACATGTTAAATACACAGCCCTCCAGAGCTCAAGTCCCTACCCCCGTCCACACCTTCTCTACACCATCTCTGCTACTCCCAGCGAGACTCCAGCACCCACTGAGAACTCCTGGTATAATGTAAAAGAGAAGCATGCTGTTGTTGTTGTTGTTGTTGTTATGTGCCAGCAAGTCGGACCCGACTCATAGGGACCCCTCCTTGGGTTTTCGAGGCAGTATCACTACGGAAGTAGATTGCCCCATCTTCCTTCCAAGGAGTGGCTGGTGGATTTGAACCGCCAGCCTTCTGGTTAGCAGTCAAGTGCCTTAGGCACTGAGCTACCAGAGCTCCTATAAAAGAGAAGCATAGCTTCTTTAATTCATCAGATGCATTATCAAAAAGTTTGTACAAATCAAAATCATGTATTAAATTCAAATAGATAAACTGATTACTATTGCTCCATTAGTTTAAAAGAAATTTACCACCACACACATTATCCTTCTACAGTAAAGTCTGACTTTCACAAAGTGGGCTCTGCCTACAAGGAAAATGTAGACTCACAGGATTTTACATTATTACAGAAAATGCAGACCTAACTTATCATTTTACAGATACAGAAAAAGAGATCTGTTGTTGTTAGCTGCCATCTAGTATTTACTGAGGTTAAATAACTTGCCCAAAGTCGTACAATTAAATAATGACAACTCTGACTCCTTGAACCTCAGCCCAGTAATTTCTTTGGACCCATTTCAACTAGAAGTGGGACCTTTACTCTCAAATAAGATTACTCTATCACAAAATGTTAGGTTGGGTTATCATATACGAATGAAATCAAACTCACTGCCATTGAGTCGGATCCGACTCACAGTGACCCCTCCTTGGGTTTCCGAAGCGGTATCACGACAGAAATAGATTGCCCCATCTTCCTTCCGAAGAGTGGCTGGTGGGTTTGAACCACCAGCCTTTTGATTAGCAGTTAAATGCCTTAAGCACTATGCCACCAGAGCTCCTTATGAATGAACAAGCAGTCTAAAGATGCTAATGTGAAAAAAAAAAAAAGTTCAAAGTTCCTTGATCATATTTAGGTTTCCAGAGAGAGAACTCCAAGTTATAGAAGCAAATCCATCAAAGTAAACTAAGGGAAACTGCATTTGCACTAATTTTTAATATAAATGTATCATGTGAGTCAAAGTCATGTTAAAGACAGGATTTGTTTGTTAATACATGCTGAAACCATAAAATTTGAACATTACACCTCTGCTATCTTTGATTTACAGTTGTGTCAGAAAGACATGGGTCTTGTAACTTACTGCAGCTTGCTGTTGTTTCAATTTGTCTCTGTACTCCTCTAATTCTTGCAAATTGAGAACAGGAGGGAGCTTCTATAGAAAAAAAAAAATCCAAAAATAAAGAGCAAAAAAACATTAAACTTCGTTCATTTACATTACATACATCCCTCTGACTTTTGAACTACAATCTAATTACAAAAGAGTGTCACATCCCATTCCTCTCCATTCTTCCTGTCCTCACCTCCTCTGCCAGACTCCAGACACAAAAGGCTCCATGTCTTTATTAAATAACTCTCCAGTGCTACCATTCCACCTCTTGTCCAGTCTTGCTACTTCCATTGCTACTGCTGCTCTCACCTAAGGGAAACCTCACCAGGGACCCTATACCCTGGACTCAGGAGACACTGCTTCCAGGACTTGTGACAGGACAATGTTGAGAAAAGTCCCTAACCCTAATACCCCATCATATCAACCATAGATAGAACCTTGTTTGTCCAGGACAGAACTCAAAACATTTCCCCATTGAAGCAATGTCAATTAAGGACTCGAGAGTGATAGTGACAGTTGTTGAAACTACATTCTGGATTGCATCAGCTTTCAAAGGCTAGCATGAGAAACTAACAAAAGTGCATACCACTATAAATATGGAAACTTGGATTCCAAGTCACAGTCAACCAAGTGATGAAAGTTTGGGATCAGTTAGGGGTTGTTTTTGTATTTTCTGCTTGTATTTGGTTTTGCCTATAACCAAATTTTACTATTGTGATTTATTTTTAAGTTTCTATAAACTCAAAATGTCAGTGTTATAAACCTTATGGCATAGGAGTATTTATGTACTAAACAATTATGTAAATACACATTCATTATTAAAAGTCTCAGAGTTTTAAAATACATTTTCAACCAATATAATATAGGACAGAAGCAGTATACTAGCATACTAGATGTAAACTGTTGAAAATCAAAAATGCAGAAATGTTTCTCTGGCCAATATTCTATAATTGCATTTAATTTCATATTTTAAAAATATTTTTTATATTTAAACAATGCTGACACTTCATTCAATCACAATATGATAATTATAGACCAGCTCCTATAACAACAAAAATAAATATAATGCTTCTAAAAAGCATTCAAATCTAACTCACAAATTAAATCACTGAACAAGATAGACTTTAGATATGTATAATTGGATTTTTTTTTACCTCCAGTTCATATTTAACAATATCAAATGAGTCTGTAGAAAAATATACTTGTTCAATACTATTAATTAGTTCTTGCTCAGCTTGAGGGTCTGTTGCCTGTTCTCGAAGTTCCCTGAATTCCTCCTTTAAGGAAAAAAAGAAAGTCACAGTTATAAAACTGTCAGAATTCCATCTGTAGGGAAATAAACAGTCATCTGTCTTAATAATCACATATCTCTGTGAACCATTGTGACCAAGAAGAGAAAATGATAGAAAAGAAAATAGTAAAGCTCATGGAAAATTAGGAAGTAGCCAGAAAGTAACAGCTACTCATCTACTGGAGAAAATAAAATGGCCAGCTTGAAGATTCAGATTTTCTTCTCAATTTCTGTATATCAGTAAGTGGTTGAGAGAACTTGGACATAAAACAATTTTTTAAGTGATTATCTAATACCTATCATACATGCATATCACATGGATATACACACACACACACACATACACACACATTTTTATCATATAACAACATTCTAAAATAACCCAGGAAGCCAAAGAGAAGAGTGTTCAGCCAGGGGGCAGTTTAAGCATAGGTACTAAAACAAGGCGGGCTTGTGCTTACTCACTGATCTGCACTGAACATGTTCCCTTGTTACCCTACCGAGAGGGACCAGGTCTTCGGGAGCAAGGTAAG